GCAACTTGAATTAAAAAGAAAAATACATATATTTGAGATCCGCCTCCTGCGATGGTGGAACCCAGAATTGGGGGTGGAAACGACGGCGATAACCACGCGGGGATGGCCAATCATCCCCTGTATTTTGTACCTCCTTCCTCCGAAGTTCCCATTTTTTCCGAAGATGATACCGACCCTCGCACCTGGCTAGCTGCCTTGAAAGCCCAGGGCTGGTCGGACCAGTTGCTCCGAGAACGAATCTCCGGAAGGTTAGCCGGAACCGCTTTTGAGTGGTATGGACAGAACCCCTTCACTAATTGGTTAGCCTTCCAGAGGAAATTTCTCGACAAATTTGATCACATCGCACCAGGTCAATGCCTCCGTCTAATAAAGGAATACACGCAGCAGCCTCGGGAAACCTTGGCTAGATATGCTGAACGTTTTACGTACCTAGCCGAACGCTCCGGGGTGGACGAGAAAATGGTACGGACTGATTTCGTCAGAGGATTGTCAGATTCTTGCCTGCGGAAAAAGATCCGCAAGAAATGCAACCCTATAGAACATACCCTGACGAAGCTAATTCAGTACGCCATTAAGTACGGGAAAGAAAATTGCGATGTGGGCCTGGACTCAGAGTCCGACGAAGATGACCCTTTGGGTGTTCGACGCAATAGCTACTCCGCTACGATACGAATGTTCGAAGATCGCTTTGGGTTGGGTCCAGCAAAAAAAGGCTCGGATCGGAAAGCTTCATCCTCTGCTTCGACCCCCCGCCACTCTAGTCAAGCTTAAGGAGGCCGGGGCGAGGAAGAAGTATCCATGAAAGAGGTCGCGGCCCAACTAGTTACGGTAGTGGCCCCGTTGATGGAGTTTGTTCAGGGTTTGCAGCAGCAACGCATAGCCGCCGCACAACGGCAACAAGCGACTATGGCCGCCGGGACCCCTATGATAAGACCGGCCGTGGACGGGGCTGTCCCGCCCCTATGCTGTTATAACTGTAATCATCCAGGCCACCTTGCGAAAGATTGTCCGAAACCTCGAACTCAGAGTGGACCCGCGGGGCCCACCGGACCTTCCCAAATCCCGTTGGCTGCTCCAACCGCTGCAGGACAGGGGAGGGTAGCCACAGTGATGGATACTGGAACAACGGAAATGGTGACCCCTGCGGCCATTGAGATAGGACCCGATGAGTACATGGTTGCGGCGATGTTCGAACCCGGGACCATTGGAGTGATACGTCACGTCCAAAGGATTACCGGGGAAAGCGACCTCGGGCCTTGGCGACCGGGGTTCGAAGATCTCACGGCCCCTGGCCCTGAGTACAAAGACGGTCATATCGACGTGTTGGATGCATTGAAGGCTCTTGATCTACGGATCCCCGTCCCTATTCCCTATCTGCTAACCATTTTCGAAGCGGCTAACGAAAAGTTGATCGAACGATGCCTCAAAAACAGGCGCCGATTCGAGGAAAGTCGAAAGGGCAAAAAGTCGGTCCTGCGGGACCTACCCACAAACGAGGAGTTGCAGCCCTCGACCTCAAAGGTGCACGAAGCCAACCGGATAGGAATGATCCAGACCATAGATTCTGCCTCGGAAAAACCCGAGGTATTCCTCCGAGCCTATCCTATAACCTGAAAAAGTGTTGAGTGTGACTGCGAGGTCTGGGGAAACCCCTCGGCCGCCATCCTAGACTCGGGATCGTCAGCGGTCGCCATTTATTGGAGATTGACGAAACAATTGGGAAGGGAAAGACAGGTTCAGCCCCTCCGACTGGATGAATTGTATATATCCGCTACGGAAGACAGCATTCATTGTAAAGGGCGGATAAGGAACATGCCTGTACGGGTGGGGCGGGTGCATTGTTTGTGCGACGCAATCGTGCTGGATGTACAGGCGTATGATGTTCTGCCAGGCATTCCGTGGCAGGCGGCGGTCGGGGCGCGAATGCACTTTGACAGCTGTAAGGTGGTGCTCACATCGGCCCACCCCAAACCACAAACGATACCAATGAGATTGGCGGTGCGTATGCACACCCAGCCGATGCCTCGAATCACCACGAAAGCCCACCAAATCAACATGATCCGACGCCTCTCACCAGGCGAAAATGAAACCTCGTCGGAAACTGACGAGACTAATGTACCCGACCGATATCCGATCCGTGTTCAGGATCAGTGGCGCCATTCTTGGCGGCAAGAACCCATGGAAATTGTTCGGAGTGAATCCAATCAGTCCCATGCATTCTCCTCTATCGTGCAGGGAGAACCCCTGCTGAGGGTGTCCTAAATAACTGACTTTTCAGAACCCCCTGCGTCCTTATACCTCCGGAAGGACCCCCTGCCCGAAAGATTTCCAGAGCTTAGGGGGTTGTGCGATTTGTCTTTCCGTCCCCCACGGCCCCTACTTACGAATGAAAAAGCCGCTATGCTCCTGAAAGAGGGGGTGTCGTTTCAACCTCGAACAAGGGGATATCAATGGGGACCAAGGGAACTGGCGCAGGCCTTTTCGGTAGAACCTTCGGCCGAAGCCGAACTGGACAGTGACAGTGACATGGAAAGCGAGCCGATAAGCCCGGCGGACAGACAACTCATTGTGACTGTCCTTTCGGTGAGGACCGATAACTCCTTGTTTGGTGCCTCGCCTGATGCCAGCACGGCGGTCCCCACGGTTGTGACGACGGTCTCCCTTCCTGGGGGAACCGTAGAAGTTCAATTACCGGCCCATGTCCCGGACGACTACAAACGCCTTCTGTTGGCAGTCATACGGGCCTACCCAGAAGCCGTCAGTATTCAGGACCACGATATAGGACTTACCCACCTGATCCAACACGTGATTGATACCGGTGATCGCGCCCTGATACATTGCCGACCGTACCGTTATTCCCTAAACGAAAGACAGCAGGTCCTGGAAAGGGTACAGGAGTTTGAACAGTTAGGATGGATTGAACCATCGCTAGGACCATGGTCATTTTCCGTGGTCCTCGTGCCAAAACGAAACGGTTCAGTCCGAGTGTGTATTGACTACCGCAAATTAAACACTATTACCACCAAAGATGTCTATCCGCTACCGCGGATTGACGATCTGCTGGATGCTATCAGGTCCGCTCGGGTCTTTTCAAAGTTCGATATCCGACACGGTTTTCACCACGTCGCAGTCCGACCGGAAGAGCGGCCCAAAACCGCTTTTGTCTTGTTCGAGGGCACGTGGCAGTGGATCCGGTGCCCCATTGGAATTTGCAACGCCCCCGCAACATTCCAACGGGCCATGAATATAGCCTTCGCCGAGTTCGTTAACAAAACCCGCTTGACACAGCCGTTGATAAATTTCTGTGTGATTGTGTACATGGATGACATTTTGGTCTTTTCCAAAACCTACGAGTACCATGTGGAACATGTCGAATGGGTGTTGCATGCATTGAAGGATGCGGGTTGAAAGTGGCTCTGGAAAAAAGCGAGTTCTTTTTGTCCGAAATTTCCTTTTTGGGCTACATCGTCACGGTCGAGGGACTGAAACCGGATCCCAGGAAGGTAGCAGCGGTTCGAGAAGCCCCGGCCCCGGTCACGCTCACTCAGGTTCAAGCCTTCCTAGGACTGGCCTCATATTATCGACGCTTCATTCGGAGCTTTGCCTGCCTCGCCAAGCCACTAACGAACCTGCTGAAGAAGGAGGAGCAGCTGATCTGGACACCGGAATGCAAGGCGGCTTTTCGGACACTCAAGGAGGCTCTGACATCGGCACCCGTGTTGGTGCGTCCCGATCCGACGAGACAGTTTACGCTGCATACTGACTGGCAGCCGCAGGCGATATCGGCGGTGCTGACTCAACAGGGAACGAACGGAAGGGAGCACGTCATTGAGTATGCGTCTAAGACGCTAAGCCAGGCGCAGTCTAATTACGAAGCATGCAAAGGGGAATGCTTGGCGGTGGTGTGGGGGATTGAGCATTTCCGACCGTATCTTTACGGCCAGAAATTCGTGCTGGTAACGGATCATCAGCCGCTGCTGTCCCTACGCCACAACACGGACTACACAGGGACGGTGGGAAGGTGGGCGGTGCGCCTGCAGGACTATGACTTTGACATTCGCCACCGTGCCACGCGGCAGCATGGCAACGCCGGTGGATTAACGCGCCTTCTGCCGCCCAACAAGTGTCCCGCCAACGAGCGACTCATTCCATGGAAGCCGGAAGCGATTTCGACGGAGCCGTGCTACGGGGGGCTGCACGTGCTGCGCAAGGGCGACGCCCGAGTCTAGAATGGAGATTTCGCCAGAGATGGCGGACGCCATCTCCTTGCCCTCGTCCAGTTCTCTCGCTCCCTCGTCTGGTCCCAACGCCTCCTCTAAGTCACAATTAAGTCCCTGTTTCTTTTGTACTCTGCCTATGGTCCCGGATCGTACGGGAGGGCCCAATTTTCTTCTATGGGTACAATGTAGTCAGTGTCATACGGTCAAATCTCACGGACAGTGCGTTAGGTACCGAAGTGAAAAGACATGGGTCTATCCCGACTGTAGAACGGACCAAGTCCCTACCGAGAAGCGGTATCAAGACGCGAGAACAGCCGACGGATTTGCGGCCAGTGCTCGCAGGGCAGAAGTCTGGACGGACCTCCTGTTGTTAAGGAGACTGACAGGCGACTCGCTGACAGAACTGACCAAAGTCGAGCGGCGGCGAGTCACGGAGCGGGCGCACGATTATCGCTGGCAGGGATCGACGTTACAAAAACGAAAAATCGAGGATGACGGAGGGTCTAGCTGGTTGACGGTTCCGCACCCTCTAGCTAGGTTCGATTGGACCCGAGCCGCTCATGAAGAGGATGCGGTCTACTTCGCGGTCAAATACACGGAAAAGGCCATCAAAAAGAATGGATGGTACTGGTCGGGAATTCAGGAAGATGTGAAATACATCGTCCAGAATTGCCCGGCCTGCGCGGCGGACAAGGCGCCGGTACAGATGCCTCGGACGATGGTGCCTACTCGAGTAGAGCGCCCCTTTCAGAGGGTTAGTATCGACACGACGGATATCAACGTTCCGAGAGGTCCCGTCGATCAGGGAGAGCTCAATGTTCTTTTAGTGGCCATCGATCATTTTTCGAAATGGATCGAGGCGTACCCTGCCGGAATTCACAGGAGGTAGCCTGGTACATAAACCGATTTTTGTGCATGCATCTAGACGTAGAAGAGGTACACATGGACAATGGGTCAGAATTTCAAGGCGAAGTAGAACGTCACCTAGTCAGGGAGGACATTAGGATTATCTACTCGCCAGGGCATTGGCCTCAAGCCAATGACCTGGTAGAGAATGCCAACCGACTGATTAAGACTGCTCTTAGACGGAATATCACTGCGGGAGACACCTGACCCTGGCCTGTCATTGTTGACCACATCTTGGCCGTCTATCGGGCTACCCCACATGGTAGTACTGGGGTGTCCCCCTTCCAACTGAGAACCAATAGTGTCCCTCAGGTGCAGTTGTCCCCCTTAGTAGGTACGAAAGTTAGAGCAACACGGGCCCAGCACAGAGATAAGGACCGCCACTACATGGACTTAATCGCTAGGGCCTATCCCCCGTTAGCTCGTTGTCGACAGAGGGCTGTAGATCGGACGCATCAACGGTAGATCCGCAGCTACGAGAACCGACATGCGTCCGCGGGACCACTACCTCGCTATAAAATTGGGGACTTGGTGCAGGTACGGAAATCCGCGTGCTCCTCAAAGATCCACCCACGCTACACAGCCATTTACGAGGTGACGGAAGTTGGCGCACGAGGCCAGCACTCTGTGAAGCTGGTTCCTAGGCACAACTCGCAAGGCCGCTTGTTGACAAGGCACGCTGCTGCTCTCCGGCCTTTTCGGCCATCGCTGGATCTCGTGCGGCCACCTGTCCTACCCGAATCATCTTCTTCGTCCCTCTCTCGTGCTCCTTCGTCCTCGCCTCCTTCTCCCCCTTCTCTCCGATCGGCGTCGTCGGCATCCGCAAAAGACCTTGCCTCCCAGGATGAACCATCGCCAACAGGAGCATGAACTGCTTGAGCACTTCCAGCCGCCCATCTCGGACGCTCTTCTCCGGAACCGGTTCAACGACGATCGGCAGCTGCGCTTCGACATTCAGCAAGTGAACGTGTTGGCACCCAGTGTTGCTGACTTGGCGGTGTACTCGCTCCTCGCGCAGCGTGTGACGTACGCGGGCGTCTATGTGGACATATCGCCAGTGCCTGGTCAGGATTCCACGCGAGTGTTCATCGAGTTCCGAGCCATCCAAGTGGCTACGAACTTCGTGCACAGCATCGCTACTTTCACCGGGGATTTAACCGTCTTGCCCGGGCACAATCGGGAGCCGGCGTACAGGTTCTTGCATGGCTACGTCCTCCAAGTGGCTAGATCGGTGGCGCGAGTGCAGGCGAGGGGCACCCATCGCTTCACCGCATACGAAGGACTTCTGCAGCGGGCTCCGAAAGGAGCACTTGCATTGGTGCCGCAACTCCCCGCGCTCCGCCCTCTCGCCGAGCCCCTCAACATTCAAGCTGTCCCCCCCCCTTCTCTCTAAATGCCTCCCTTCTTCTCTTACACTACCCTCCCTTACCAACTGACACAGCTCCCCTATCCTATGCGCAACTTCCCCGAGTACCTGGTGGAGCTGACAGACGTTGAGCAGTTGCCGCCCGCTGGCGAGGACGCGTGGGAGCGGCATCAGGCGCTGTATTCGTCGGTGGTGCTGGGCATGTTTCCATTCTTCGTGGAGCACAAAATTCATAATGTTGACGAGTTCCTCTACATATACTACGTAATTGCCAAGCCGAAGCCGGAGCGGAAGGAGGGAACAATGACGCTTTACCCTTTCGGAAGGATCGGAACGAATCGCCCGGGGCTCTTACAGCTCATCCACATTGAGCTGCTGTCCATTGAACAGGTAATCGCCGCAGAAGAAGAAGACTTGCAGCTCAGACTGTGGACCGCCTCCGCCTCGTGCAGAGCGTATAACGCGGCGGTGATACCTGATTACCTGGCGCGTGAGGGAGAGTCCATGGTGGACTTCGGGCACGAAGACAAGCTGCTGCGGCCTCCATCATCGTATCCAAAGCCGGCGGCCCTGAAGGCGTCGAGAAAGAGAACCGTCCCGAAGCGGCGACGAAGTCCATCGCCGGAGGCTCAGGCCAGTCGGGTGGGGCCTGTCGAGGAGGTTGTCCAGCCTGCGCCAGTGCGCGGAGTCGATCCGGTTCGTTAGAGAAGAGCCACCCTCATCATCGGGCCTCGACTGGGGGAGGAATGCCCCGCCGAAGAACCGCGGAGATCCACAGGCCATCGGGAGTCGACACCTTAGCGGCCCCGCCTCCCCGATCTCAATAGCCATGGAGCCGGGCCATCAGGCGCAGGGGGGGGATTGGGACGAGTTCCATATCCCGCATCCGGACCCCCCCTCCTTGCAGGACCGTTCCGATTTCGCCAACCCTCTCGGGATACCCCGGTCATTGATATTAGCAGTTCCCCCGAGCCGGACGGTCCATCAAACCGACGTGGATCACATGGTGGAACTGGCCACGATCCGGCTTGAGGCCATCGAGGGGGCGCCGCGTCCCGATCTGGTATGGGAGGCGTTCTTGCAGCCTCCATTCGACGGGTGTATAGCGGCGAGGTTGGTGGGCACGCTCATCAACGAGACCGGCGGGCGGCCCAACATTATGTACCATATCCTGGTCTTCACGGCAGTTAAGCGGGAGCTGAGGCCGTACACGGAGACCCATCTGGTGCTGACGGGTCCCAGGAATCGGCCGTTGCGACGGAGGATTATTCGAGCAATCGCAGATTTGGCGCCACGCGTCCTTTCGCATATGCCGGGGGCTTTCCTTTACCCCTCCTTTGTCCAGCACCACTTCAATGAAGTGGAAGTGCCAACCAACTTGGCCGCGCTCGCAGCGTTTCTCCCTACTCTCCCTCCCCCTCTCAATCCGGAGATTGATTACTTCCTATGATCATCTCCACCACCACCTCTTTCTTTTTCTTCTTCTTTTCTGGATCTAAAGCTCGCGCGATGATACGCGCTGTATATGTAAATATATATATATATATATATATATATATATATATATATATATATATATATATATATATATATATATATATATATATATATATATATTTTTTACTTACCGATCGGGCCAGCTGACGATGAAGGGGCCGCCCGATCGGATGTACACTATGGGAGGAGGTGATGGAGGATGCAGGATGCATCCACGTAGATTAGGATGATGATCGGGCCAGCTGACGATGAAGAGGCCGCCCGATCATCCAAGATATGATGACATCAGCAGTCGGGAGACTGCTAATTTTTCGGAACCCCCTGCGTATCAAAGATGTGATAAGCTCAGACCCGTACCGCGCGGCTTGCCGTATCCCTGAGGAAAATTCCCGCGGAAGCCCCGAAGTACGGACGCGGACAAAAAAGGGTTTTTCTTTCTTTTTGCTTTTGTTTTCCTTTTGAAACGAATTTTTCTTTTTTTTTTGGTTAATAATTCCCGCGCGGGCGAATAGCGGCCGCGATATGAAAACCAAGAAACGGTTTCAGTGGGGACTTTTTTTTGAATTTTTGCGCGCGTGCGCCTAAGCTCCGACTTCTTCGCGCGTCTCGCACCCCCGTTTCTTGCTTTGCATCCCCACGCCATCTTCCCTTCTTGCGGCGTGCGTTTCCCCCATGCAGGACTCTTCGTCTTCCCCTTCGCCCAGCTCGATCCTTACCTCATCTTCTCCGCGAAGTGATTGGCCGTGTAGTTGGGATTGGATGTCCTGTCAAGGGTTGTTGATTGCATGCATGTATGTTTGTATGTACTTATCCGGGCGGGGACGGGGGAACTGAACTGGAGGACCGTCTGCTTAGGAGTATGAGTGTGTTAATCCCGTTGTTCCCCTCCGTTCCGTGGCCCTTCCTGCGCGCACGCGCAGTCTCGGCGTCACTCACTCTCTCTCTTCCTCTCTCCCACCCTTCCTTTTTGAACGGGTAGTCCTCGTTTTTGAACTTCTCGTCCTCGCACCGATGATGTTAACCGCCTGCGTCTGTGCGCGCGGTCGACGCCCCCGCGACGGGGAAAAGAACTTAGATTTCGCCATCTTCTCCCGACGCACTAACCTTGGGAGAGAAGGGTTGCCTTGAGTGTTGTATGGAGGCGGTGTTGGTTCGGATGACCGGGAACGCGGGATCTTGCCCGTGTTCATCGCGCACCTCCGATCATCTCATCTCGCTACCGACCTTCCCTATCACAGATGACGACAGCGTATACTGCGATGCGGACGTACGGCGCGCGCTGAGACGGACGGAGCAAGTGTGTTGGCAAGACCCGCCTCGGGCGTGTGATATAAGAGGGAACGGGTTTGTCTTGATTGATCGCTTTGATTCCCCGACTCTAATATTGCCTTATACGGGTTTGACTGTGTTGCCCTGGTCGGCCGCTCACGTCGCGTGGCGGCCGCAGTTTGATTGTCGCTGGTGCCGCCAGGGGGACTCGTGTTCTTGGCGACGCCCGGTCCTGGGTTACGAGGGAGCGACACGCTTCCCCGAGCTCTCCCGTAATGCGGGGGCGCTGCCCGCGCAATTTCGAATTCGGATGCCGGCGAGTCCTCCCGCTGCTCTACCCTCTCGGAAACTTCCGCGCGGACTTTGCGAGTCCGACGCCTAGGCTTGAAGGCCTCGAACCCACCCCCTATCCCTCAACCCATGATGGCCGGAGTTTCCGTCTTCCGCCGCCATGGCCCTCTCCCCTTGATGTCTTTTTCCGTCCTGATGCACGACGGTCGTTCGTTTTTGCGGAAACCCTTTTGATTTTCTTGCTCTGAAGTGACCCGACACCCCCCCCCACCACGGGACTTCACGACGACAGTTCGACTCCGGGGTAACCTCTGGCACGAAACGAGAGCCTCCCGTTTTTTCCGGGAAACTCAACCCCTACGGCCAAAAATCCTCGGCCACGCCCCTCCCAGAACTCTGATCGACGACCCAGTACGGGAAGCCGCGAGGGGGCGTGAGGTTGCGTATCACAAACCATCCAATGTTCCATTGTGATAACTCTAGCTCTATCTTTAGCTCTAGCCTGTGACCAGATGGGACTAAACCGGCCCATCCGACACCTACCTATTATACTACTACAACTACAGGCACTCACCTATAGGTCTACAGCGACCCTTTACAACCGAGTGCCCTGGTTGGGTGAGGTGGGATAAACTACTCAGCCAGCCTGTTTTCCACCGCCCAGGTTCTTAAAAACCACCACAGTCTGGATCTGGATGCCGTACCTTTCTTGGCCCGTCTTCTCCTGTTAATAACGATAGCTTGTCTAATGCCTTTCTTGATTGCCGCTTTGATCTCTATATCAGAGTAGGGTCTCTTCTCAAAGCGGGAGCGGTTCCTGTCGGCCCAGATTACTGAACAGATGACCGCCCTAACCACTTGCGCCACGTAGGCCCAGCCCCTTTTCCCAGTGCTATTGTCTGGGGAAAACCCAGCAAGACCCATCACTCTTTCCACACAATATCCTTCCCGCCCATCTGTTTCCAATGCTGGGCCCACCAATTCCAAACTCTCCTCAAAGCCGGGCAATCCCACCACAGGTGGCGGGTGGACTCCAGGGAATCTGTGCATCTGGTGCACCCCAAGGGAACCTCCCCTCCCCTCCCGCGGAGCCACACCGCAGAGGGAGTGACCAGCATGGACAACATCCACAAGAGGCTGGCCTGCTTGACGTTTGGTAGTTCCAGAAGAATGCTCCAGAGCTTCCTGAAATCGCTCTCTGCTCCTTGCAGGTCCTGTAACAGCACCGCAGAGGGAGTGACCAGCATGGACAACATCCACAAGAGGCTGGCCTGCTTGACGTGTGGTAGTTCCAGGAGAATGCTCCAGAGCTTCCTGAAATTGCTCTCTGCTCCTTGCAGGTCCTGTAACAGCACAGTGCTCCAGCAGGAAATAGCTACCGACGCAGGTGTTCTGGGATTCTTGTTTGCTAGGTGGTACGAAACCCGAGTGGAATAGTCTGACAGGCCCATCCCCTGAGCAGTCGATGACCCGCCTGGCTCCCCTGACCACCCCCAGGCTAGAGGGTCAATAGACAGCTTCCTGAGTGGGACACTCCCCACCCAACGAGGTTGTACTACCCGGGCTTGTCTATCTCTTTGCTCTAGCACCCGAATCTGAGGAGGGTTGGTCCATTCCTTCACTGTCACCTCCTCACTGTACTCCAGCACCCCTTCTGCGTTTGCTAACCTCCAGCTCTGCACCTGCCTGAGACCAGAGCTGGTGAGGTTGAGTAATTTCCATGCAGTCTGATGACCCTCCGAGGGGGTACCTGCGTACCAGGTACCTGGGGGGTCCAGGCCTTCTGGCCCCAGCAGGGCCGCCCAACCAGGGGGAATCGCCCGGATACGTGCTTGCCTGTTTGCCTCTACCGACCGAAGGTTCTGCAGAGTGGATATAATCTCTTCCAGTGGTTTCCACGTACCCAGTACCTCCGACCAAAGATCAGCGACGAAGGTGACTCCCCTGCGGATCCAAGCCCTCCCAAAAGCACCCGCTTCCGTTCCTGCAGAGAACTCGCTGCCATCAATGGCTAGAATCATTGGATTTTCAAACAACCGCTGTCCCAGAACTCGGACTTCAGCCTCTTCTTCATGAAAGACTTTATGAAAAAGCACCCCCACACATCCTCCGGTCTGGATACTTGTCATTCTCTCATTAGCAGGCGTTCTGCCAGCAGGATCCAGTCGTCCTTGTGAGAGGCCATGGCCAGCTTCGCTATCCACGCTCTAAGTTGGGCATGGTTCTTCCTCTTTGGGTCGATCAGGCCCAGGCCTCCTTGGTCCTTGGGGAAGGTTACCAGTTCCCACGCCACCTTGACAATAAAGCCTTCATCCGCCGCCGCACGAGGCTTCCACATAAATCTAGATACTAGCCTCTTAATCACTGTCAGCACGGTATCCGCTACCTCCCTGACTGCGCCAACGAACCACAGCAAGGCGAATAAGGCCACATTAACTGCCAAGGCCCTCCCAAACAGAGAAAGATGCCAGGCCGAACCCCATGCTTTCAGTCTAGCTGTAATTCTCTACTCTAAGATGAGGCCTTGAGCTAAGCTCATGATCTGCGTGCTGACAAGTAACCCCAGGAAGCGTTCCCCTTTCGCTGGGTCCACACGCTGGATGCCCCACTGGACTTGGAGTGAAAGATCTGCAGGGAGGAGGTATGTGGATTTGTTCCAGTTAACCTACGCTTCCGATAGCTGTGCGTAGTCTACCAGAACTGACTTGATAGCCAT